CTAACAACTACACATTTACATAGCTTCCCAAAACCACACGTCACTATTACACCCGCTCTAACAGCATGCCAGATTCCCCTTTTAATAGCACATGGGTAGATTTGGGGGTTTCCTCTCTCTTACAACCATACAAACAATGAACAGGAAGTAAAAGCAGCACATTCCTGATCATGAACAAACCAGGATCAGCTCCACCTGTCCTCCTCACAGCATCAGCTTCCAGCTCAGCACAAGGATGCATATGCGCACACACACACAGGCTCTGCTTAAAAAAACATCAGCAGCTGAGTTTTCTATTTTTTAGATATATCTGAGGTCACACATCAATGCCACATCATTTGTTTCTTCAAAATCATGAATTAAACAAAGAAAATTTGTTAAAAAAAAAAAAAGTCTTCAATCCTGTGACAAAAGGCCTGGGGTCCTAATGTCAGCATGGGTTCTGCCACCGAGCAAGCATAAATTTATGCCCAAATCACACACGTGCTAAGAACACACCATTTAGAGCACACCGACATAGCACTTTAGAAACAGACTGCAATTAAGGCACTCAGTCTGGGAGGCCAGAGATCAACTACTGACTTGACCATACATATTCTGCATTGTTTTGCTTTCATATCTTGGTATACTTCCCAGCAGCCTCAAAAGGAATGGAAAGACATTTTTGGAGACCATTGCAGGGCTCAGATACTCTGGCAACAGGTCACCAAAAGATCCTAATATTAGAGGAGCCACAGCAGCTCTCCTCTGCTTCCATTCTACTCCATCGTACTATAGACAGCTAGCAATAACCTTCACTTAACAGCAACCCCTGTATCTCCCACAAGAGGAGAAAAGGGAAAGTTACCACAATGATTAAAAAAAAAAAAAAAAAAAAAACACCAAAGAGACAGTTACCTTATAGCAGTGTTTCACTTAAGCCTTTCAGATTTTTTTCCTCATGCTTGTGAATAGTTATCAGCGTTGTTCCTGTTCTCAAAGAAGCACAGCAATGGGATCTGATTTCACTTGTTATTCTCACAAGGATATCTCACATCCCCACCCAAGAATGAAAGCATACTTTCCCGGGAAGGTTATCTACCCAAGTCACCTCTTGTTACCAGACAAGAACTGCTCTGTAAGTTCAGCTTGCTAACAGCATGTTTCTGCTCAGAGACTTCCCATCTCCTTCCGCACGGGAAACATGAGTAAAAACTTGCTTAGTACAAACCAAATCATTCGTGATTTTCCAAAGCAGCAGCAAGTCCTGCTGTTGGCAAGCTGCTATTCCAGTGGGTACAGTTTGTCCAAGTCCGCATTTTCACTGAAAAAAAAAAACCAAAATGAAACAAAAAATAAAAACAAAACACAACTTCAAAGGAAGCAGCTTCCACACTCAATGCAAATGTACCTAACCAGTACACCTAATCACCTAATCAGTTCTGACCCGTTAGTCATGATTAATGCAGGTGTGGGAGCTTGGAAGGCAGCAAGTGCTAACCCCACAGTGGATTCCAGCTTGTCTTCAGCACATTTATAACCCAGCACCTGCTCTCTTCAACTGCTGGCAGCTCCTAAGCAAAGAGAAGGCCCACAGCACAACAAAAACACTGTGGGTGTACTTGGGATACCTCAACATTTGCTCAGTAACTTGGGATTCTTCATCAGTTTGCCTGGCTTGTACAGTCAAAAAACCACAGACTACTAGAAGACAGAGAAGCCAGTACCCCATCCACCAACGCAGAGCTCAGCATTGCTTCACATGGTACACAAAAAAGAGCAAGGGCAAAAGTATAAAAAGAAAAACCACATGTCCCATTCCAAGAGGAGAAATAGTTAACTCCTAATCCAAATGCTAGTGGTCAGCTGACTAGTAGTTGGCCCCTGACAGAAAGCAGAAGGCAATAACTGACAAAACAAACAACAGAAGTGATACTTTGAACCCAGCCACTCTGGAATTGGTTGAGGATCATGTAAATCTGCAAGACTTATCTGAGACGGAGTTCATTGAAAGTCAGAGTTATTGTAAAAGGAGGATGATGACTTCATAATGTGATGCTGCGTATCACAGTAAGTCCAGGGAAAGGGAACACTAGGGGTAATGCAGGCAGCAGCCAGTACAAGTCCTCTGTAATCAGCCCAGGCACGCATACAGACAGCTCAGGGGGTCACCTTCCCCATCAGACATAATTTGTGCATTCACACACTCAACAAGCTCTTCATGAGCACTAAGAACTACAGATCTACTGAAGAAGGCAATGATGAAGCCTTTGCCACTTCCTTAAAACCTGTGTAATAACACACCTGACAAATTTATTTTAACCCCCCCCCAATCCCACATTCAGGTGCCTCCTGGGCATTCACCTCACAGCTGGGTGAAACAAGTCACACTGATATCAGTTAACAACCCCTTCAGCCCTCCCGGAGCCCTGGTGATGCTTCATGGCCTTGCAAATCTCCAAGGCCAGCAGCACTGAGCTCCCGGTTATTAGTCCTCTGGAAGACTTTGAGAGGAAACTTTCAAGATATTATTCATACTTTTAAGTGGATTAGAGGGAAGTGAATACAAAGACCCAACCAAGAATCACCTACTGAAACACAATATAAAGAAACTGGGAAAAAGAAACCTGACAATTCAATTGCATTATATCACCACAGACAAACAACTGCTCAATCTGTATTATCCCCATCTCATTCCTTCCAGAAGGAAGGACCTTGACTTGTTCCTCATTACCCAAGAAAGCGAGGATCCAGACAAGGGGTGAACGTGCCCCTAACTGCACTGGATATTTTGGGGATCTACGCCAAAAGACTAAGAACATATGCAGATGTCTGCCATCTGGCATGACACGGTGCCGCATTAAGGACCCTCAGCCTGGCCCAGGAGAACTACTCTTCAACACAATTGCTCAGCACAATTAACACGACCAGTCACATCTTTGACAGTGGTAAACCCCAACACTTTAATGCCAAAAGTTCTAGTTCAACCAGTTCCTCAGGCTTGTGACTTACTCTCCACTACATCATCCATCACTTCAGAGACTCCCTCTTTTAGCTGCTGTTACACCTTGTTTACTCTCTGTGCTTTACTGCTGCACCAAAATGTGGGTCCCTCCTCTCCTTTCTAAAGCAATGGGCATGTGAGATGTATTCTTCCCAGAAAAGATGTTTCCTCCTCATCCTCAGAAGTGTTTCCCAGAGGAAATTTCCTTTTAGCAGCAATAACCACGACTTCACAAGTTGCCTTTTCAATACTGCTGAACCACCAAAATTCACTGTATGCACAAAACAGTTCTTCAGCTGAGAATTCACAGCTCCCCAGCTGAGTCAGTGAAAAAAAATGTATTTTACAAGCACTCAGGGAGCACAGACAGCTATCCAAAAGGCTAGAGGTATGCAAAGCTGCAGCACTTATGACCTATGTTGTCTCCTGAGATGACCTACCTTTCAATAGCCACGCTGCGTAGAAAATAACTGCTCAGCACATTTTCTTTAGGGGGCTGCTGAAATAAAAAATAAAAAGTGCTTTGCCTTAGAGCATGGTCAGGAAAGGAGAATACAGTACCTATTTTCCAGGCCTGTTATACTTTGCTTGACCTGTACAAGCAGATCTTGCAGCCCCAGAGGCCAGGCATGGACCCAAGAGTCATAGGGAAATCCCCCACAAGCAGCAGTTCCTTCATGATGTCTCCACAGTTGTCTTCACCCACAGTCTCTGCTATCACCCACACCTCTGGTGGCTGTGGGTCAGGCACGCCAAACAGCACAGAGCCCAGGGATAGGCAGTCTCACCTCCCAGTACTGCCAGCACCCAGGCAGAACCTGCCAACAGATTATTCATCAGCAAAAAAAGCCTCTGCTTCCCCACATAAGCAGGATGAGGCCAATCTGCATTAAAAAAAAAACAAGAAAAAACACAGCACCACAACCACCAACATTGTGACAGTGTCTCAGACTTAACCCATCTAGCACCAAAGCTTCCAGGGCCAAAGTGGCCATAGAAGTATCAACCAAGGCAAATTCACATTGCAATTTTCAAGTCAGGAAAAGAAACCATTGTAGTTTAAATGTTGGGCTTAATGCTCTTCTCAGCTCAGCAAACACCAGAATCTACCCAAAAGATGGTCACAGATCTATTTTCGTCTACACTGAGGTGACTTTCACAAACCTGTACGCCTACAGCACATACAGAGCTCTTTTTCCATTTTGGGGCTCTTTCTGTAAAAGCCAACTCAGGTCCTCCCACTCGGTTCCCATCGAGAAGCCACCTCACTTCCACAGTAACAAGATCAAAACAAAACACCACTTCGAAATGAAACTGCAAAGGATGCTGAGCAGGTCTAAGAAGACCAACATCTTTCTGAAGGTTAATGCTAAGGTTGGCAGCCAAAGACATTAATAAGATCCCCTACGGTCCATACGAATAGAATCTAAAATGACAGTAAAATCTGCAGCATCGGTTACAAACAAACAAAACCACCAGCAGCAGCTTGCTGCACCACAAGAACTGCACATATCTAGTGTTTTATAACCCCTACTGATCATTCTCAGTTCTATCACTGTCTTATTTTAAAGAAAATGCAGTTGGGATCTCTATTTTCTCCTAAAAACACAGGCAAACAGCAGTCCCCCACAAACTGCAGCCAGCTCTACCCAACTTTTCTGTCTGACAAATATGCACAGGAAATTTACCCCTATGTAAATTCCAAAGGACTTGGGCTGAATGAAGTTCAAGGAAAGACCACTGTGGACTTCATTTACAGTATCTCCTCCTCCAAGCAAAAAGATGAGTAAAGGGAAAGGTAGGAAACTCCTGACAGCCCAGCAGTTCCTAAAGTACTTAAAAAAACAAGACCTACACCGAAGCCACACTTAGGAAAAGCAGGAATGCCACCAGCTGCGGATACCACCGCCAAGGACAAGGAGATGCAAGGGGAGCAGGGACAGAGAAGAGCACGGTGGCAAGGCCAAAGCCTGCCATCCCTGCCAACGGGGAGGGATAGATCTCTGCGGGCTCTCACCTTCCGCCAGCACCTCGTCCACCGTCACCTGGCGGCGGCCGATGCCGAACACTCTGCCGATGTAACCGCTGCCGGGCCCTCCGCTGCCGCCGCCGCCTCCGCTGGTGCCCGAACCGGGCCCAGAGCCGCCCTGTTCCCGGCGCGAGTCGAAGAACTTCTTCATCTCTCAGCAGTTAGCTGAGAAAGCTCCGGGGGCGATGCTCTGCCGAAGGCCCCGCGCCCCAATTCTTCTCCAGGCCGGGGCGGCTCCGAGGGCCGCACGAGTAGCGGGGGTCACACCTGCAAAACCGCGGAAGGGGGAGGGGGACAGCCGGTTATTCCCGCGGCCCCGCAGCCCTCACAGGGTTTGCTTCCCCTCCCCCCCGGGCGGTACCTCTCTGCAGGCGGGGGGCGCCTCCATGCGCCCCGCACAGGGCCCGGCCTGTCGCAGCCCCCCAGATCCTCACGGCGGGGGCCGCCTGTCGCCAGGGCCCGGGGCCCACATCACTGCCCGCCGAGCCCGTCAGGGAGCGAGAGCGAGACCGCCACCGCCCCCCGCCGGCCCCGGGGCGAGCAGGAAATGGCCGTCACAGGAAGGCCCGGCTGCTCCCCCGGACCTATGACGTCCTCGCACGGCCCGCCGAGAAGGCAGCTTCACCCCCGCAGCGCGGCAGAGCAGCCCAGCGAGTAGAGAGGGCGGGCTGTAATGGCGGCCCGCAGGGCTGACGCCGCCGCGCTGCATCCTGGGAGTTGTAGTTCCTGCTACTGCCTCCTCGCCTCTCCCCGCCGCAGCGCGGACTACAACTCCCAGCAGGCAGCGCGGTTCCGTCAGAGGTGGCCGGGAGCCTGTCGGAGGGGGGCCGTGCCCGCGCTGGAGCCTGCTGGCGGCTGGTGACATTTATTTTCTAAATGCTGGGATTAAGTTTGGCTTCTTAATGTCATAATAGCAACAGATCCATATCTCGCCTGCTCCTGAAGTGCAGGGTTGGTCTGTGCGTTGGTCCTGCTGGCACCTCCATGGAAAAGGCAGAATGAGAGAGAAGCAACAGGCCTCAACCAGTCTGGGAAATAAATATTCCATTAAAATTGGGGAAAAAAAAAAACGGTGAGGAGGGTCTGCAACTGTACACAAAATGCTCAAAGCTTGGCAACCTAGCGACGGATATTGGACGGAATTCCACCTTTCTTCTCCTCCCCAGTGCCATCTGCAGGCCTGCAGCAGGGTGTCCATAAGCAGCACTGCACCTCATCCAAAGACCCCAAAACCTTCAGAGAATGGTGAGTTCAGCTTCAATCTTGTGAAAATTGCAGTGCTCTTGGGGTTCTTAGGGAACAGGAGAAATAAAAGCTTCCATAGAATCATAGAATCATTTTGGGGAAAAAATGTCATTTTGAGAGGAAAAAGCAGTATTTGGGGGAGAAAATGTTATATTTTAGGGAGAAAATGTCATATTTTGGGGAGAAAAATGGTATTTTGGGGGAGAAAACATCATATTTTGGGGGGGCAGTGGGGGGCTTTGAGGGGCACTAGGGCGCACGGGGGGCCCCCGCGGGAACCAAGGGACTCTGGGGGGCACTGGGGGGCTATGAGGGATGTGGATTTAATGGGTGGTCCACCCAATGGATAAGAAATTGGTTGAAAAGCTGCAGACAGAGGGTGGTGATTAATGGTTCTATGTCCAGGTGGAGGCCGGTAACAAGCGGCATCCCCCAGGGGTCTGTCTTGGGACCGGTGCTCTTTAATATCTTTATCAATGACTCTGACAACAGAATCAAGTACACCCTCAGCAATTTGCTGATGACACCAAGCTGAGTGGTGCGGTTGACACGGTGGAAGGAAGGGATGCCATTCAGAGGGACCTCAACAGACTTGACAGGTGGGCCTGGGTGAACCTAATGAGGTTCAACACAGCAAAGTACAAGGTTTCGCATTTGGACCGGAGGAATCCTAGGCATCTATACAGACTGAAAGGAGCAGTCCTTGAGAGCAACCCTGCAGAGAAGGTCCTCAGGGTCCAGATGGATGAAAAACTGAACATGAGCCAGCAGTGTGCTCTTGCAGCTCGGAAAGCAAATGGTATCCTGGGTTCCAATAGAAGAGGGGTGGCCAGCAGGGAAGGGAGGTGATTGTCCCCCTCTACTCTGCTCTTGTGGGGCCCCATCTGGAGTACTGTGTTCAGGTCTGGAGCCCCTAATACAAGAAAGACAGAGAGCTGTTGGAGAGGGTTCAGAGAAGAGCCACAAAGACGATAAGAGGGCTGGAGCACTTCCCATAGGAAGACAGGCTGAGGGAGTTGGGCTTGTTCAGCCTGGAGAAAAGAAGGCTGTGGGGTGACCTCATTGTAGCCTTTCAGTACCTAAAGGGAGCCTATAAACAGGAGGGGAGTCAACTCTTTACAAGAGTATATAACAGCAGGACAAGGGGAAATGGTTTTGAGGGAGGGAAGATTTAGGTTGGATGTCAGGGGGAAGTTCTTTACTATGAGGGTGGTGAGGTGCTGGAACAGGCTGCCCAGAGAGGCTGTGGATGCCCCATCCCTGGAGGTGTTCAAGGCCAGACTAGATGGAGCCTTGACTAGATGGTCTAGTATTATATATGGAGGTTGGCCCTGGCTATGGCAGGGGGGTTGGAGCTTCATGATCCTTGAGGTCCCTTCTAACCCGGGCCATTCTGTGAGCGGCTCTGAGGGGCACTGAGCAGGGGTGGAAACACAGCCTGATCATTTGCCATGGGTTGATTCAAACCACATTGGAACAGGGAGGTGCTCCTGAGCACCTGCAGTACATCGATGACATGGTGGTGTGGGGTGATACAGCAGAGAAAGTTTTTAAGAAAGGAGTGCAAATAATCAAAATTCTTCTGCGTGCTGGTTTTGCTATTAAGCAAAACAAAGTGAAAGGACCTGCCCAAGAAATTCAGTTCCTAGGAGTAAAATGGCAAGATGGGCATCATCACATCCCAGGAGATGTGATCAACAAAATCACCACTATGTCTCCATCCACTAGCAAGAAAGAGACACAATCTTTTCTGGGTGTAGTGGGCTTTTGGAGAATGCACATCCCAAACTATAGAACAGCAGCAGGCTTTTGAGCAGATTAATAAAGAGATAGCCTGTGCTGTGGCCCTAGGGCCAGTACGGATGGGACAGAATGTAAAGAACATCCTCTAAGCTGCTACTGGAGAGAAAGGTCCCACTTGGAGGTTGTGGCAAAGAGCCTCAGGAGAGACCCGAGGCTGACCTCTGGTATTCTGGAGTACAGGGGCATAGAAGGGGTCAGAAGAGTGCTACAGTCCAACTGAAAAGATCTTAGCTGCATATGGGGGGGTTTGGGCTAATTCCAAAGTAATTGGCACTGAAACACAGCTCCTTCTGGCACCTTGACTGCCAGTGTTGAACTGGATGTTTAAAGGAATGTTTAAAGGATGTTTAAAGGAAAGGTCCCCTCCACCCATCACGCTACTGATGCCATTTGAGTAAGTGGATTGCGCTGATTTGCAGCGAATGCGGATGGGGAACCTCAACCGTCCAGGAATCCTAGAGGTGATCATGGACTGGCCTGAAGGCACAAAGTTTGGAACATCACCAGCAGAAGAGGTATCATGTGCTAGCTAACCATACAGTGAACTAGCAGAAAATGAAAAGAAATTTGCCCTGTTCACAGACCGATTGTATCGTATGGTAGAGAAGCATTGCAGATGGAAAGCTGGTGTGTGGAGCCCCACATGACAAGCCACATGACACTGAAGGAAAAGGAGAATCAAGTGAGTTCACAGAGGTAAAGGCCATCCAGCTGGCCTTAGATGTTGCTGAATGGGAGAGGTAGCCAGTGATTTATCTTTACACTGACTCGTGGATGGTGGCAAATGCCTTATGGGGGTGGTTACAGCAGTGGGAACAAAACAACTGGCAATGGAAAGGTAAACCTATTTGGGCTGCTGAACTGTAGAAAAATATTGCTGCCCAAACAAAAAATATGGTTACAAAGGTGCGTCACACAGATGCCCGTGTGTCCAAAGTAGAGCTACTGAAGATCAGCAAAATAGCCATCAGGTAGTTCGAGCTGCCAGAATTGAGGTGGCTTAAATAGACCTGGACTGGCAGAACAAGGAAGAATTATTTCTAGCTCAGTAGGTCCACAAGAGCTGAGGCCATCAAGGAAGATACATGACATATAAGTGGGCCAGAGACTGTGGACTTAACCCGACAGAGGGGTGGACTTAACTATGGATGCAATTGCACAAGTTGTTCATGTCTGCAACACGTGCCATAATTAAACAAGCCAAGAGGATGAAACCTCTCTGGGGGGAAAGGGTGATGGCAAAACTACAAATATGGGAAAGCATAGCAGGTTGATTGTATCATCTTGCCACGATCTCACAGTGTAAGTGTTACGTGCTCACCATGGTAGAGACAACCACTCAGTTACTTGAAACATATGCAGTACCCCATGCTACCACCCGAGACACAATATTAGATCTGGAGAAGCAAATCTTGTGGTGACATGGCACCCCAGAAAGAATTGAATCAGATAATGGGATCCATTTCAAAATTTCACGTGTGGATATTTGGGCCAGAGAACATGGTATTGAGTGGATTTATCATATCCCCTACCATGCACCAGCCTCTGGTAAGATCAAATGCTACAACAGGTTGTTAAAAACCATGTTGAAAGCAATGGGTGGTGGAACATTAAAGCATCGGGAGAAGCATTCAGCAGAAGTCACCTGGTTGGTCAATACTAGAAGATCAGTCCTACCCACTCCAGCTTCCTACATACTGTAGAGGGAGATAAGGTCCCTATGGTACGTGTAAAAAGCACATTGGGAAAAGCAGTCTGGGTCCTTCCAGCTTCTGGAAAGGGCAAACCCCTCTGTGGAACTGTTTTTGCACAGGGACCTGGGCACACTTGGTGGGTGATGGAGAAAAATGGGAATGTCCAGTGTGTACCACAAGGGAATTTGATGCTGGGGGAGTAGTCAGTGATTCCACATGTACATTTGTATATAGACATGTGCATATGTAACGCATGTTAATTATTTCTTTGTTTGTATATAGGTATTTGTTAAGCGTGATGTGGTGATCTGGAATAAGGGGTGGAATGTTGTGGTTTTGTGATTTTTTACTGTCGGTATTCCACATCAGAACATCGTGTGAACCAGCGGGAGTAAAAGAGTTCATGTTCTGGTTCCATTTACTGCCTCTTAAGGGCATTTCAAGTATTCTGATTGGAGGGGCGGCATTCCTGGAGGACTCCTGGAGGCGCGAAGAGGAAGATGGGTGGAGCTCCGGACAGGACCCCGTGCTTCTTTCCCCCTCAGGCCCAGCTCACTCTCGGTTTGCGATAGAGAAAAGCATATATTTCTTTGCAGTCTACTAGAGTAAGACTACTTCATCTACTATCTCATACTTTGGATGCTCTTGTCTCTCATTTCGTTCAATTTGGTTAAATTTAGTAAATTAACGTTCCTTCCCGTTACCGGGAGGCAACCACTTGTTGAAGGTTTTTTTTGTTGTTGTTGTTTTGTTTTGTTTTTGTTTTTTAGACCTATCTGCTATCTTTCTACCCATCCCCCTCTCCTCCTCTCCCCCTCTCCCAGAGGGCAGGGTCTGCCTCGGGGCTAGCTAGCTAAGCTGAAAGAAAAGAGGGAGGGTTGTTTTCCCCTCTCTTTTTTTTTTTTTTTTTTTTTTTTTTGTTTTGTTTTGTTTTGTTTGCTTTCCTGGGCTTTTTTTGCCCTTTGTCACAGACTCAGATAACTCTGTGACAATTGCTTTTCCCTCTTCTTCCCCACAGCATTCCAATCTGTTCTGATTTTAAGCACAAGTGTTCTATATTTAGCCAACCCTGTTCTTGGCAAGCAGTATCACAGTCCTTCTCACTCAAGATATTGACTTCTGCTGCTATGCACATGCTAAGTTAAGTGCCTGTCTGTAAACTGAGCTCTTTTTTGCCAAAATTTCCCTATGCACAGAATAGGAACGAGAACAGGCCTCGAGAGAATTAGATCTCCTGCTATCATCTTTCTGAAAAGACCTGTTTTTGAGGGGTTGGCAGGGCTCTGGATTTCCTTTTACAAACATAATAAAAATACTACTCTCCCTAATCAGATTTTGCACTGTAAATCTCATAGGCTCCTACTCTGCCTTCATGATTCTACTTTTCTCAGTCTTTTGATTCAGTTTTTGATCACCTCCCTCTCTCCTTCCCCTCTCTGCTTGCACACAGGAGCTTTCCACTTCCACTCCTCTACTGCAGAATCTGTAATTGGCAGTTCTACAACTTTGACAACTACTTCCCCCCACCACTAACAAATAATAACTAAGCTTTACCCAATACCAGTAACTCATGTCAGGAAGTTGATGGATGCACTTGTATCATCTTGTCGAATCTGCAAAAAGATAGTAATGTGAACAAACTCTTCTTTACTCCATTTCACTAAATAAAGAAAGCTTATAAAACAACTTAGTCAGATTCTGCTTTGGAGACCTACTGTAAATCAGAACAAAACAGTACTAACAGAAATATTGTGCATTAGGACAGTGTCATACGTACCATTCCAGTGAATTAACTGTCTTAACTGCCCATGCTAAGGTAAACAGCATGGTTAAAAGTCAGTTCTGCAGCCTTCCAGAGTCGGAATTCCATTTCTCACAGAAGACATTCACATGCCAATTATACAATCTAAAATATTTTCGTAAGTAGACAGTTCTGAGGCTTTGCCTAAGCTTCTTGTTCCCCACTTTTTACTTTGCAGACTCCACCGTTCTTCTGCTTGACATCACTCTCTCCGCAGAAAGCAACAGAAACTGCACAAAGCAAGCAGACTACTACACAAAGTACAAAGTAAAACAACTACTGAGAAATAAAGCATAAGGGAAAGAAACACACCTTTTCCAATTTGTGAAGCTGTCCAGTAGATAAAAACTCATCTATTTTCTCAGCTATTTTAGCAACTACTCCATCCTAAACATTGAGGAAGGATTAACTACAAGTCAATTTCAAGGTCACTTACAGCCATCATACCTAAGAAAAATAAAGCTCAATAAAAAGAACTGTGAAGTCACAGAAACCATTTTAAAACATTGGTCTGTAAGAGATCAGGAGCACTGAAGGGTACAACACAAGTAGCACAGAGTACTTCAAGTGCTGTATTACAAGTCCCCTGCAAACAGTTATTTTAAACCAGTTGTAGATTCCTACAACTCCCAAACTTAGTGAGACAGTAACACAGCAAAGGGGAAACCTGCCACAGTAGAAGCCTTTCACAGAAGAGACCCAGCTGGAGTTTCCAGTTCCACCTATGAAATCCCTGCAGCCCATATGCTCCACTCGCCCTTCCCTGAGCCGGCTGCCAGCAGAAGCTGATGCAAGCAAGAGTCATTCGTACACTGCTTCCTTCCTCCTGGAAACCTCGATACCATCCTAACACAGTTCCTCCACGCTAAGAAGCCCAAATTCGCCCCGGTACCTACCAGCTTCTTAGCTTCGGCTTCACTCCGTATTCTGCTGGGGTACCGAGAAACGACAGTCTGCTTTCCTGCGGAACGGCGTCGGTCAGCGGCCAGAAAAGAGCAGCGCGCTCAGCCCTGCGGCGAGGCCGGGCCGGGCCCCCGAGAGACGGGGGCGGGGCGCTCCGGCAGGGAAGAGAAAAAAGCAGCCCTGAGGAAGGAGGCGGTATCTGTACGCGTCGTACTTGTGGATGCCTCGGTTCACGTCGCGCTCGTAATTCCCTAGCTTTACGGGGAGAAACACAGTTGGAGCAGTCGAGCCGGATCCAAGGATACCCTCCCTCCCCCTGCACCCCCCGTACCCATGAGGAAGTCTGCGATGCCCTGGTTGAGGCTCTCCTGCAGCACTTTCCGCTTGCTCATTTGCAGGCAGCAGCAGCGACCAACACCGGAAAATCACTCGGCAGCACTTCTGGCGGTGACGTAATCAGACCGCGACAGGCAGCGGTGCGCATTGCGGAACGTGCGGATCGCTCTGCCGCGACGGGGGAGGAGCCGCGGCGGGGTTCCCCGTTCCGCCGGCGCAGTGGAGATGCGGCTCATTGCGAAGATGTGTTGCGGAAGGGGTGACGGGGGCAGCGGGTGCTCGAGTAGGCCGGCCGTCATGCGTCACATCCACCCCGAGCTGCGGTAGAAGCTGGGCTCCTCCTCAGCCTTGGCAACGAGGGGACAGAAGCGGGACGATGCTGGCCAAAGGGATGTCCTGTCCTCGATGTCCTCACGCTGAATAACGTACCGGGGGGAGATGACCGGCAGTCTGCTGCTGGTTGGGAATCGGCTGGTAATTCATCAGTGGGTGGTGAGCAATTGCATTGCACATCACTTGCTTTGCATGTTCTTTTGTAGTTATTGTGATTTTTGATTACTCTTCTATCCAGATTCACCAGTCTTTGCCCTGCATTGCTGAAGTTCCTTCTTGGATTGCTGAAGAATGTATGGGATTGCTTGTCTTTGCTGGGGTTCCATGAAGTCCACGTGGGGTTTGCAAAATTCTGCACTTAAGTGCACACTGTTTTGCACAGTTTTGCTGGTCTTCGTGGTCAATACAATTTCACATCTTGAGGCAGTGAAACTATCTGTAAAAGCACAGCAGGAACAAGCATGGCAGAATGTTTACACACCTGTGGGAATCTGCTACAGGTATTTTGTATCTTGTCCCAAGCAGAAGCAAAGTTTTCTTTATCCTCTTCCTGGAAGGGAACCATAAAGAACACGTACACCAAAGGCTGCCATCCGTGAATGTGCAGCTGCTCACAAAAACAGCTGTTACGTTGGCAATGTTTAAAACAGCAGCTGCTAGCGGTGCTATATGAGCATTCAGGCATTGATAATCAATTGTTAATTGCCACTTCCCATCTGGTTTCAGTCAGGTGGGTCCTAAAGCAGAACTGTTGGTTGTTGAAGTTCAGCAATCAGAGGCCTCTGTCATAGGAAAGTCCTTTATTCTTCTTCTTCTACTACATCTACTATTAGTCTACTATATTCACACAACACAACAGCACACACATATATATGATTATGTATATCTTGGATACAAGTCTCAACAGTTTCAAGGCCTCCCTAAGCAACCATATCTAATCTTACATCTTGTTTCTATGTCCAGTGTTTCTTCTTGATCAAAGCGTACGGTTCCCTATTGTAAAAGATCACCACTCGTGACCACCACCTTAGCACAGCAGAAGCAACAAACATAGTAACTAAGCGGACCTTGCTTTTGCTGTTTAGGCCTGTGAAGCCCATGGCCTCATGGAAGTCAGGCTAACTATGGATCTCCACAGGGACCCCTACTGTCCCCTCAAACCCAAGGCCTCCCACTGCCCCCAAAGCCCCCCCTACCCCCACTGATCCCCAGGGGGGGCCCGGGGCCAGGGGCCCCAAAGACCTCCAATACCCCCATTGACCCCCCCGACTCCAAAGCTCCCCACTGCCCTCCTGACCCCAAAGCCCCCACTCTTTGTGACCCCCCTAAACAGTGTTCATACAGAACCGTGCTCGCCCTGAAGCCTTTTGCCCCCGCCGCCTGCAGCAGATGAACAGGATCCTGGACCGCCTGATAGCCCATTCCCACCTCAAATACAAGGGTAAGGGGCTCACCCCCCCCCCCCATCACTGGGGGAGTAGCACTGAAACACCCAGGACCCCCCCCTACACACCTGGACCCTCCCAGAGAGTACCCAAGATCTTCAGCTGCAACCTGGGTTGAGTTCACAAACAGCCAGGACCCCTGGCAGCACTGCGCCTCCATCCCCAGCTGCCATTACGTGCACATCCTTCACACCCCCACCCAGAAGAGCTTCCCGGGATTCACCCCAAAAAACGCCGGGATTCACCCTAAAAATGGGGCCCTGCAAGCAAATAAAACTCACTGGACCCCCAGTCTGCTTACTGTGGGGTTGCTGGGGGATCGTGGGGAGGCTCCTGGGTGCCCCTGCGTGCCCCACAGTCCTGCAGGTTCTCTGTTGCATCCTATGGAGTCCTACAGCAACCTTGCAGTGTCTGATGGAGTCCCGTAGCACATGTGGATTCCCGCTGCACTGCTGCTTCATAGCAGGGTGCTCTGAGATAACAAGAGGATGTCGCGAATTATCGACGTCTTTTTCCTCTTGCAAATTAAATACAGCCCCTGGAATCCAAAGAGGAAGAGCCAAGCTGTGAGGCTGCATGACCAAAGCGCGGAACAGCAGGAGGGGCGGCTTTGGGGGACGGTGGGGATCAGAGGAGAACAGGGAGAGCGCTGCCCCCGGGTTGGGGGGGGGGGGGGGTCCCGGGACCCACACGGCCGTTCAGAGCACGACAGAGCGTCGCTCTGCCGTTTATGTTCTGCACTGCCCGTCTATAATAACAGGTCCTGTAAAAATGGTCATACCTTAAACCACCAAATCCACTTAAAGTAATCCAGATAAGCCACCATAATCCACAAAGATCTAAGTAAGTCACCATAAAAGTAATGCTACGAGTAATACAAATCCTGAAGTTAACGCAGATGAGGTGCAGGCGGCAGCATGCGCAGTAGGGCGCCAGCGCGGCACATGCGCAGGATGGCGCCAGACTTGCGCATACGCAGCAGGGTACAAGCATGGCGCATGCGCAGTAGGGTGCCAGCGAGGCGCATGCGCAACAGAATGCCATGCGGGCGCATGCGCAGAAGGATCCCATACTTGCGCATGCGCAGCAGGGTGCCCCCGATTGCGCATGCGCAGCCGAGTGCCAGCGACGCGCATGCACAGTAGAATGCAAACAGGCGCATGCGCAATAGCGTAGCTGCTCGGCGCATGCGCAGCAGGGTACCAGCGAGACGCATGCGCAGTATAGTGCACGTGCAGCGCATGCACAGTAGAGTACCAGACTGGCGCAAGCGCAGCAGGATGCCAGCCAGGCGCATGCGCAGTAACGTGCCAGCCTGGCGCAAGCGCAGTAGCGTGCCAACCTTGCGCATGCGCAGTAGGGTGCCAGCGCGACGCAAGCGCAGTAGATTGCCACTGCAGCGCATGCGCACTAGAGTGCCAGTCTGGCGCATGCGCAGTAGGGTAATAGAAAGCCGCATGCGCAATAAAATGCCAGACAGGCGCATGCGTAGCAGAGTCCCAGACTGACGCATGCGCAATAGCGAGGCAGAAAGGCGCAAGCGCAGTAGAGTGCCAGGCTGGCGCATGCGCAAGGGGGTGCCATGCAGGCGCAAGCGCAGCAGGGTGCCAAACAAGCGCATGCGCAGCAGGGTGCCAACCCGGCGCAAGCGCAGTAGAGTACCATACTGGCGCATGCGTAGTAGGGTGCCAGCGCGGCCCATGCGCAGTAGAGCGCCAGACTAGCGCATGCGCAGCAAAGAGCCAGAGCGGCGCATGCGCCGTAGACTGCCAAACAAGCGCATGCGCAGTAGTGTGTAAGACTGGCGCATGCGCAGTAGGGTGATAGACAGCCGCATGCGCAGTAGAGTGCCAGACTGGCGCATGTGCAGTAGGGTGCCAGGCTGGCGCATGCGCAGTATAGTGCCAGCCCGGCACAAGCGCAGTAGAATGCAAACCTGGCGCATGGGCAGGAGGGTGCCAGTCAGGCGCATG